CGGCCGCCCCTGCGGGCCCGGCCTGCTCGCCGCATGGCGTTGCCATGGCAATGCGCAGCTCCCCGGACCTCACGCTGCTCCTGGAGGGACCAGCACTCCCTGGATCCAGCCTGGAAGCTGGGGGCGACGAGGGGAGCCAAGCTACAGCTCACGAGTCCGCCCGAGCTCGGTCCCGGCAGCTCCTGCAGATCCCTGTGGCATCGCGTGGAGGCTGCGCTCCCGGCCACGTGAGGATATTTTAGGAGAAGCGTGTACCCGTCTTGCGAACTGCAACAGCCTCTCAGGGTGTCCGCGCTCCCAGGTGTGCTGCCTTAACTGTCCCCACGTAGCAAATTTTGTACAGTTCTCTTGTGTAAATACAGCTACAGGAATATAATCATGCTTTATACTGAGCTATGCCCATGCAGGAAGAGAATATACTGTAGTATTATCACAGTCTCTGCACCAGGATTATATCATGGCAACTATTTTGAGAAAAAAATGACACCCCCTCAAGCTCTAAATAGCTACACTGGGACTAATTCTGCGTGCAGAGCAGGCTTTGGAAGGAACTTTTATCCTCATGTATGCATACAAATAAAACAGGGGTCAGACAGTGGTGCTGTCATTAGTTTTTAATTATCCGTACAAAAGCCAGACAGCAGTTCTCTCCTAGGGGTGCAGGGATTTCAGGCAGAGCACCAAAACGAGCCATGTGCTTCTCTTTTGGCTGCAGCAAGGCAGATCTGTGCAGGTGTGCAGAAGTGCCTTGCTGCAGGCTCCCCGACACGTGGCGCATATGCAGAAGAAGTGCCAAAATGCCATTCCGCGCAGCCATGTGGCCCTCAGCGCCTGCACAGCGCCGTTGCACCCGCAGCGGGAAGGATCGGACCTAGCGAGCATCCAGACACGCCGTGCGACTCCCACGCGCGCCGTTAACCCGGGGGCACCTGCACGCGTTGCGAGGGGAAGGCTGCGCTGCAATGGCTTTAAGGCAACTGCCTTTTGAAACACTATATTCATCGAGTCTACCCACTGCTGAAGCATTTTAAGTACGTAAGTAAGTGAGGTGTTTTTGATTTATGTAAGTAAAATATGATAAGCACTTTGCCCTGGTACTTCCATTTGGCTTGCAATTCAGCTTGGTTATTAAATTTGCAAGCGGTCTTTAAAATAAACAGAACCAGCCATAAAATATATCTGCCCCTGCAATTTTTGTTTGAGAAGTCAGTTTTAAGGATACCATTGGTGGTTGTGATCATCAATCTAGCACTGAGGAGGAGCTTCTGAAATAGGTAAACTTTCCAGGAATTCTGTCATTTGTGTTGCAGCTGTTAGATAAGACCTGCAGGCACATACTACCCTTCTAGTTTTAGTGCCCAGCAGAGCAAAAACAGGAGAAAAACACAGACATTGAAAAATGCCTATAATCTGATGTGTGCCTTTAAAACAGACTACCTTCTTTATCTGCAGGCAGAACAACTGGAGACAGCCAGAGAAAAAACAAAATCTTCGCTCTTGTTCAGGGAAGTCTCTCCCAAGACAGTGAGCTAATTCCATACTAGTTCTGCTGAGAAGCAAAATATTAACCTGGACAGAGTGTTGTGCTGATACGCCCTGACCCACCAGGGTCTTCAGTGGCAGGGCAATGGAGCTGTGGCCTTCTTGTAATACCACCGATTTGTGCCTCAAAATGAAATTAAGCCACCACCTGAAGAAATGTATGGATTTCGCTAAACAGCATCTAAAACTCATTTTTATGTTCTTCATAAGAGCTAAAAGTCTCCTTTAAAGTTCTACTTTAGGTGTTTGCCTTTCTCTTCTTCAAAAGAAAATCACGGGAATTATTTATCCTGTATGGGCAAGGCATCACCCAATTCTTTTTAATGATGGCACCCAAGCCAATGTGGCACGTTTTGGAACAAATAACTCGACTGCTTTCTTGTGAAGCAAGCCTCACAATACTTCTGGCCTTGAAACATTTTCTGGTTTCTCTACAGATCCAAAAATCAATTTTCTTAACCACCATATTGGGGATGCTAAAATTTAGTCTGTTTTCAAAGTACTTTAACAAGCTTTAATGAGCTTTACCTCATAGGAGTCTTTATTTGCCTTGTATTTTTCTATCTGGTACAGTTGGTTCTTGTGGCAAATATTGTCCTGGCCTTCAGACTTCTGTAGAGAGAGAAGCAGAGAAACTAAAGCATGTAAGATAATCAGCAAAAACTAATGTTCAACTACTGTTTAATGGACCACATCCATTGCTGGCATTCAGTGCAGTTGCATCAACTTACAGACAGGGTGAATTTTGTCCATTACATTTTAAATATTATTAATGGCATCATCATTAAAACATGCTTTCTGAAAGATCTCAGAGGAGAAAAAAAAAAGAAAAGCTACTAAGCTGCTTAAAGAATGCCTCTGGGGGATAATTTCTCTAAGAAACAAATATGTTGAAAAGAAAATTCCATATAGCCCACGTTGCTGCCTACACAGTCATAGAGAAGCCTACAGATCTTGGCTATTTAATACCTCTCCCCAGGCCATAGATAGTTAGCTGTGTGGAAAGACCAAGGGAAGACAGTGCTGCTCCTCCTTCTACCCTTTGCCCACCACAACACTTGAGTAAGTAGCATTAGCCATACTCTGTGGCCAGGGAGACCCACAGGAGATCAACAGAGTCCATATTCCCATTATTTCTCACAAACGACTTTCATCAAAGTTTTCATTAAAAAAACCCAAATCTTAGCAGTCATTAGCCTTCCTCTTAATTTTCTGAAGCAAATCACATTGTGCTATAGCTCTCTCCAGCAGCAGAACTATCTTGACATATTGACACTACACTGCAACCACCAGTCAGGCTCTGCATGGCAACTGTTTGCTTTCTATATGGGAATACCAAGATGCTGAGCCAGGGGGCATCCTCTATGCAAATGCAGACTCCTGAGACTTAAAGTCTATAAGCAATTATCTCTGCAGCCTGGGGAATTCCTCTCTGAAATAAAACATTATTAGTTTGCAAGGAATACTTTCCTTTCACAGTTATTATCACAAAATGAGAAAAACTCAGGTTAAGCCTTGAGATCAAACATGAGTACACAGGAAAAGCACATTTTTTTATTCCTTCATTCCCTGGCTGTCCACAGAATGGTCTCAAAGCAGAGCTTACCCTCAGGCTGGCCAAGTAGCGCTCCAGCTTCTTATTCAGCAGAAAGTAGATGGCGAGTGTGTGGCTCGCGCGGTTGGAGAGCACCGTGTTGATGACATCGCTGTTCTTGTAGCCAAGCTTCTCGGTCATATGGAGCAGCACGCTTTGGCTGAGGTCCTCCAGGTGAATCCTGCATGAAGGAGGGAGGCAGAGCACGCTGTCGGCACAATCTATGGAAACCATATGCCCTGCGTGACGCTGGGCTAGCAAGATGAGCAGCCTCTTGTCTGTCGGGCCACGTGGGGAGATGGCACCAGGATGCTCAGGATGCCACGGGTCACCCTAGATGCGACCAGTAAAGTCCTTCAAGACCCTCTGGCTGGTTTTGAAGGAAAAGGGCTAAAATCCAACCCTGGCAACTACATTCTGCTGTCTGAAATGTCCCTTTTCTTGTAAGCAAACACCAAGGTGTTCAACTTCTGCCTTTACCTGCCACCCAATGTTCCTACACTAAGGAGCAAGGGAATTTCATCCCAGAGGACAGAGAGATGAAGAGAGGGTTATTACAGCAGCTCTGAATATGGTAACACTGCTGCTATACACACGTGGGTTATAAGCAGAAGCATAATGTTAAAAACAGATTTCCCAACGAACTCAGCTCCTATTTAGCCATCCAAATGAGTTGGCCAGATTCCCACATGTACCCATCGACTCCCATTCATTGCCAAAGAAGTACTGGGCTTTGTTTTGTTTCAGGATATTCCCTGCTCTTCACATCTAGTTTAATATCTGGCTAAAACAACTCAGTGGAGCTTAGGTTATGTGTTTTTTTCACAGCCTGCTGCTACCTTTCCCAGTCCTGCTCTGCCGTTCCACTGCTTTGGACACCTGCAGTGCTAGGTACCCCTGGAGATCAGACTGGGTCTGGTACAAGAAGGATGTGGGTAACAGTTAAACAAAGCCTGGGAAATCTCAAAGAGCTCATGTTTTCCTTTCTTAGGCATGTTTATTAACACTCTTCACTAAAGGAATGTGTGCTTTGTTTTTTTTTCCTTAAGCTCGTAAGCAAAACTTATCTTAGTCATTGGACCTTACAGCATCTGGACAGTAAAGGAAATTCAAGTAATTTCTACCTGAAGTGCTAAGAAAAGCGAGAAATCTTTACTTGCCTTCAGGGAATTTCTTTAATAAAAGAAAGCTTATAAAAATATTGGGAGAATATTTCCTTGAAAATGCTTTTTTTGTTGTTTGTTTCCACCTTATCTCCATTCTCTCCCCTTCCGTACCTTGTTCCTGCCTCAGGAACAACGGGTGGTACCCCCAAAATGACAGAAAAGGATTTAAGGAACAGGATAGAGTTTCTCATTTGTGTCATAAAGGCATGATTAAGAGACAGAATGATTCCTTACAAATTCCGTGGTGAGCTTTTCAGAACTACAGGGATTTATCCAGATTTATACTCTAAAAAAAGCTTGGAGAAACACTGCTGAAGCCAAATCGAGCGATGCCTCATGAGGCAAGCTCAAAAGGAGGCAAGCTGTGTCTTCAAATATTTCAAACTGAAGGGGGTTTTCCATATCAGTCTCCACTATGACAAATTCTAGGTAGGTCAAGCTTGGGGCATAAGATAATTAAACTAAAGAAGCATCCAAAAAATGAAAGAAAAGAATCCGCACAGCTTTTATCCTTTACAGCTTCACTGACTTCATCACAAAAAGTGGGTTCTGATATAAGGAGTGTCTAGATTTCTCTTGTTTTCATATCAAGTAATGAGAAAAACATTACAATGAAAAAAAAAGGAACTGATTTTTTTAATAGCAAAGAGTAGCATTCTCCATTGATAGTTCCTTTCAAAGTGTTTTTATAGGAAAGGCTTATTACCACCACATATACACAAACATATCCACATGAGCAAACACACAGCCTTTAGTTCAACATTGTGTTTTCATCTGTTCTTACCTTCGACTTGCTTGCTTTTGGGAGCAAATGATTAAGGGGCACTCCATAAACAAACAGCATTGCACAGCTATTCTATTTAATAGAGACCACCCTCTCCTATAAGTCACCTAGCTAGCAGGCTCCGCTAACTCTATGGACACTTCCAACACTATCCAACAAAAACCTGACAACTTCAAATGAAAATTTTAAAAATAGATATAAAAAGGTACCTACAAATGCAAAAAAAAAATCAGAAATTACATTCAAGCCATGCTTCCTTTTTTCCCCTCTTTTCTGTAGATTAGACACATGCAGCAGGAGAATTAAATTACCCATATAGCTCTCAGTTACACTTACATTCACTAAACAGATGCCATGTTTAGTAGATTGATTAGACTCATTATGACAGCGATTTCATTAGCTTAATGACTCATTCAGTTTACACTTGTTTTCCCTTTCTTTACCATAAAATGTTCATATGTACGATACTTTAGTACAGTCCAGTGCACCATGGAAACTCAGAATTTCCTTTTGCTGCAAAGCATATTATGCAAATTAACTCAATTGCCCTTAAATTCAGGGCACCGATGTTGTGATAATGAGGCTTGCCTGTTTGCAGCCTTACTCCTTGCAAAACAATTGCTCTGACAAACACCTTCATATTCTCTGCACGTTGGTCAGAGGATTGAATGCAGCTGGCTTCACATTTGCCCTCCTAATTTCAATGGATGGCTCCACAGATGTCTCCCTCTGGACAACAGGCACCCAGGCTGCTCAAAATCCATCCAACTACATTTTGAGAGCTGGAGACCTATTACAGAGCAGCCTCTATAGAGCAGCCACTTCAGCAGTAAGGGGGTCATGTTGGAGGTCCTTCCAGCCCCATAGAGCTTGGACCTACAACTATGAAAAGTGCTTTATACATTTGGCTAGTGAGTAAAACTGTTGGCTACTAGTACAGTTTTGTCTTCAAATGAATGCTGGAGGCTGTCTGCAAGCACAAGTAGAGCAGGGCTACAGCACTGGCTGCTTCTGGGAAAAGATGACCAAACTGGTGACTACCAAAACCTTCCTGAGTGGAAAACATTGGTACAAATATTCAGTTAAGGTTCAGTCTTCACACCCTAGGCCTACGCTACATCAGACCTCTGGCACTTCAGTAAACTGCAAGGGGAAAGTTGGGATCTCCTCTTAAGGACTTGCCTCTTAGTGAGGCAGGACAGAAATTTTGCATAGACAAAGTTAGGCTTTAAGTCACTGTCTTGTGTCTTGGATCTTGTCCTGCAGGCTAGTAACCTCAACAATGAACAAGTACTAGATTTGTGCTGAATATAGCTGAAGGTCCCTGATAAAGAAAACTGGTTTTACCTACTCAAATACAGACACATTTCTAAAAGTGAGTTGCTAGAGGCTTAATTTACAAGAAAGTGGTTTTACCTACCCAAATATAGACATATTTCTAAGTGAGTTGCTAGAGGCTTAATTTACAGTCACAGGAGAGAAAGACCCTCTTGCAGAACCAAAAAGAGGTCAGATGAATGGCTCCCCAGAAAGTGCCCTTATTTCTCTACACCAACTATAAAGCTCCAGTCGAGTGGCTCATGTGTGTACTCTATGCTGCAAATGTTTAAAGATAAGCAAGATTAATTCTGCCCAAAGTGAACCACAAGTATCTTCCTTTTTCACCAGATGGATGTTTGACTGACCGTGAGACTTGCTATCTGTTTGCATTTAGTCACTTCAGCACTGCACGAGTATTCAAGCTCAAGAATCAACAAAGCAAGATCATTTAAGCCTGACCTTCCTAATCACTGTTTGCATAATATTTACCTAATCCACAGCCCCTCAGATGTTTATCACAAATAGGCATTGTATCCATGGGAAAAATAGCATGGCTTTATCAACAGCGAAGGAGAAGATCAAAACTGATTACCTATTTGTCACACATGCCCTTTCTAGGGTCTGGAGCCAATTAATCATATGATCTGCATCCCAGGCCACCCTGCAAACACATCACATGCCATCTTCTGATTTAAAAAAATGCTCTTGACCATTTCAGGAAACACATACTCAACAGACAACTCTAGCAACCTCTTGTATTGTCTCCCCAAAGCAACATCCAGAAACATCGTGGGACCCTGTCACACGAGCAGTGAAACAGGCAGCACCAGAGTCCTGTGTGCTTAAACATGCTTAGGCACTGCCAGCCTTTCCCCCTTCCTCCTCCCATACCTGTTTGGATACGTGACGTTGGGTGGTGCTCTTCCAGGGTAATTCTCATTAAGCCAGCGGTTTGCAAGCGCCTGCTGGATGTTCGGTCTCTTTGCTGGATCTGGCTCGAGTAGAGATCGTAGAAAGTTTACGGCCGCTGCGAAAACATTAAGGAAAAAAAACAGCAGCAATGTCATATGCTTTACAACTTAACACAGTAGTTGAGTTACAACTCCACTACTATGGCCAGCTAACTGGGAATATACTAGGCAACTTTCTCCTTTTGGTTTACTGTCCTTGAGAAAAAGAAAAGTCTGACAAGGGATTAGTAAGTAAAATACACAATGATATATAGAGCTGTAAATGAGAGAAGAAAAACTGTCTTTTGGTACAGAGCTTGTTTGAAGTTTCTGGGCAAGTTAGCCAATATGTAATTCCTGTTTGTCTGGGGACAATAGGGCAAGGTCACAAGCAAGTCATTCATGCTGTGTTTTAAGCAGAAATTGATAGACTGGACGTGAGTAGAGAGGATGGCAGGGATGCAGAGATGGGAGGAATGAAAGGAGAATCGGGTTTGCTGCTCCCATTGACATTATAAGGACAAATTCTCTTCTGGCTTCCATCCAAACTGCAATCAGCTGCAGGAGGCTTTAGCCAAACCAAAAGAGTACAGCAAATTTAATGGGCTCTGTTCTGTTTTCAGATACTGAACCTTCAACTTGCAATGACATTCAACCATCCCTCAGGGCGTTCTTGCAAAAAAAATCTAAGAAGTACTTTTCTGACATTAGCGAGTCATGTGCTTCTTATATGGTTAGGAACAAAGAAGTCAAGTGACTCCCTTAAATGCTCACACTAAGTCAATATCTGAGCTGAAAACAAACTCTGTTTCAACTAGTTCTAGCCTTTATTAGCCAAATTATCAAGGCTGGATTTACCTTACCAACTAGAAGACAGCAAAGAACTATGTCCTCCTCGCAATTCTCTGCAAATACACTAAATTCTAGGAGAAACTAAAGCAGAATGATTTTTCAAAAGAGAAGGATGGATGGCATCAAGTGGGATGCCAAATGAACCCAGGATTAAGCCAACAGCAAGCAGAAGTGGTGGCTGCGGCACAATTTTCTCTAAATTAGATCGATGACGATCTTGGAGGGTTTTTTCCACCTTTTTTTGCAGCAGAGCTACAATCCTAGACACTTCTGAGCATGTCTCATCTACTTGCTAAGGAAACCTGTGTAGGAACTCAGTGCAGAAAGCAGGCACTGGCAGCACACGGCCACTGCTCTGTTTTGCACATGGCACAGGATAGTTTCCCAAGTTACCTTAATTAAAATTCTAACTGAAGTGTTTGGACTCAATTAAGATGTATTTTAGATTAAACAGAAGCTTGGCCTGTATTTAAAAGTTTTGCTAGAACTTCTTTGCTGATCAGGTATATGAAATAAATTGCTCCTCTCACTGACAAAGCCTCAGGACCGGTATAGTTTGCCAAAAGGCTCTTTCTAGTTTATCTAATTCCATATAACTGGAAAGCATTTTAAGCTCTACCTACAAAAGACTGAGATTTTTTGGCGGGTAGAGCTGCGTCTTCTGGGTAAGCTGTGGTAGAGCCAGGCCAACAGTTACATCATGATTTTGATAAGTGCAGACAAGCCTCCTAAATGCTTGCGATACAAAGAACGAAACTATGAAATTATGAACTGGTCCTCCCACTGGTCTGCTTTACAGACCTGTGGTCTCACTTGCACAGCACTCCAGCCTGCCCTTTATTCTGAAGCAGAGCAGCGACATTTCACCAAAATAACAGTGCAAACCCTCGCGAGCCCTCGTCCCCATGCCCAATGCACAGGGAACAACGTGCCTGCCCACAAGGCCATGATGTGCCCTTTGGAAAAGGGCATAAATGTTAACTGAGACACAGGGCCCTCGCCTTCAAAACGTTCCCATTTACAAGACTAGGTGCTCTGTGTGCATGTGCGTTGCCTCCCTGAGCACTTTTGGCTCGGGAAGCCCACACGAATCACCTCCCACGTGAGGATGCACCACCACTGCAGAGCACATGGGTGCACAGGGAAGCAAGGGATTGTCCAATAAATCAGGATTAGACTCGATAGGTGCTGAGTCCTCACAGCTTGTGTAACCTCTGTGTTCAACATCCTGCAAAAATCAAACATCAGTTGGAAAGGATGCCGAGAGACTATCCGTTTCAGCGCAGGCCTACTGTCGAGAAGTTTATAATTGGGAGAGAGAAGGAGAGAGTTACGATTATGTATTTACCAGGTCAGCTAGGCATGAGCTGGCTTCCTTCTGTCCTCACAGATCACTGATTTATGTGCAATACTTCAGTTTAAATCTCTCCCAACGTTTCTGTATTTTCATACGATTTGAAGAAGTAGCAGGAGGAGACAGCATCCAGGCCCATAAATCTCCTGCGAGTTGATGTTATGACTGTTCTATGAGTATCCTGAAAGCCCTCACGTCACACTTCTTGGGAGCAGAGCCCTCCACATCAGAAACTAACTAATCCACTGTCCACTTATTTTAGTCTTATCTTTCCAGTACTTCCCTGCCTCTCTGTTACCAAATGCACACAACCCACAGCTTCTGAGAGCCTTCTCAGTGCAAAATAACCCCTCTCTACCAGCACCAAGCCAAGTTCCTCCTTAGATCCCAACAGAGCAAAAAGTCTCCTTAAAAAATCTTACTTTTTTTTTTCCCCCTTGGCAAAAGGCAGACTAATTAAATAAAGCTTCTGAAGCACTACAAAGATCAACAGATGCAGATTGGGAGAAACTAAATTCAGAGATGAGAGACCTCCAGGGTGGTTTGCTAGCTGCCAGGACTCGGGCACCTCAGCTGAGACTGGGAACAGCACCTTTGCTGATCTGAACTGCTAGACAGCACAAGGAAGAGAGGCATTTTTTGGTTAGCTGTGCAAAATTAATTCCCCAGGAAGCAAACACGAAGCTAACTCATTGATTTTTGGGCCCATTATATCCAAAGTCATTTTTCATGCCGAACCAAGTAGCTCCACGAACAAAGGATCCTGTGAGCTATCCCTGCAACGCTCGCTTATGTAAGTGAATGCAACCAACTCAAGGACAGCGCTAATCTGATTAGCCAGTGACCTGCACGCGATGGAATTTTTGTTTCCAGGGTATAATTTGGGGGCAAAGTTTGCTCTTTGGACAATTAAAAGACCGGTTTCATGAGAAACACAAATTCTCTTTAAAATTCCTTTTGCATATTAAACTCAGTGAGGATGAGAAGCAGAGAGTGAGCTTGGAGTTTGGGTTACAAGCCATCTTCAGCTTTCATTTTCCTTGCCGTGAGCTAGAAAAACTTAGTGTCTTGTTTAGAGAATGCCACATGCAAGTGCGTGCCTGGTTGGGGTCAGCTATACAGTTGCTGTGCATAAAAACTGGACAGGTAAAATGATGTAAGGCCATTTCACCTCACACAGCCACCAGTAAACTAACAAAATCCTTTCTCCAAATAATACGAGCGTGGATAGACAATTGCCAACATTTCTCAGGAATTTAGTCATTCCTCTGCTGGACCACACTGCGTCTTTGATCTTGGCAATGAAAACTTCTAGCCAAGGTGCAGTAACTTCTCAAGACAGACTTCACTGACTATAAGCAAATATTCTATATTTCATAGACGGGATACAAGCCATCAGATGAGCCGTGTATTCCTGGAGTTCGAATGATCAATGTCTTAACTCTCATAAAGAGTAATGCTTTTTTTCTCTGCTTCAAAAGCATGAAATACATGCTCACACATGTTGTAGATGATAGTAGGTGTAGTGCTTGATATGCTTTAAAAAGAGAATCAAAAGGTTGTAATGACTGAAGACAAATGTGAGTTAATTTTATCTTTCAAACTATCTGCTGTGAAAGACATGGGATTATTTAGCATTAGAAAATACATCAAGCAGTCAAAAATCAGAAAGCCTACAAAACAAAGAAACTGTGGATCTATAAAACCACCTTTTTAAAAGTATTCTTCTAGTCTCTGCTTCATTTCACTCCGAAAAGGGAAACTATACACATACAGAAGCAATAAACTGAGAAACAAGGAATGTGTGCAAGGTTAACACCAACTTCCTTTAACAACTGAACTCTGCTCACCCAAAATCAATATTAAGATAGCTATGTTTTTTAAAAACTAATGAAAAATGGTTTCCTAAGCAGGAAAATCAAACACTAACCCCAATTTTTCTCTGTTGCTACACAGTTGCTTTTGGTGCTCATGGTTACCTAGAATTTAAACTAATACAAATAAAATACGCTCGTGTTCAGTGATAGCAATGGCTGCTTTTATGATGGAACTGTGCATTTGGTAACTGTAAGATTAAATGGAGAAAGATACCATACTGAACAACCACAAACAGTCTACTGCAAAAAATCTCTTCTCAAATCCCTATGTGAATTGAAAAAAAAAATACACTGAAGTAAAAGATCTGAATACCTAAGGGGTTAACTAGTACAACAATTTGCAGAGCAGAGGAGTAGAGTTGCTATCTACTGACCCAAAGTCTAACAGCAGCAAGAACAAATGTCATCTTAAATCACAGTTTGTCAAGCCAGTGAATGTGCAAGCCTGTTGACTTCAATCAAGAACAGATGCATACCTTTATTCACAGTGAGTAAAGGTTAACATGTTCAAATCTATTCCATTAATTTTCCATCTCTGACAGTTCAAACTGCTATACTTCTCACAGGAGAAACAAAATACTGTTTTCATTGGAGAGCATAACGTTAGTAAGCTATGAATTCTACAGATATGCAACTGTGAGAGAATCCAATCTCCCTAATAAAATGCTGGGATGAATGAAAGAGTAGAATGAAGTCTGTTGGCAGCCGTGACTACCTTTATTTGCTACAAAAAGTTTGATCTTCTAAAGGCCTTTCATGGGTGAGTCAACCTTTCTCACATCAGTTATCCCAATAAAGTCAGTGAAATCTCCTACTTAAAGACTACTGCAGTTGAAAAAAAGCAGTGATCAGGGAGACAGTCCATTGGTTTGAATACAGTATATGGCTCTTCTGTAGCATCTCTACTGGGAAAGTCTCACTGGTACAGGCCAATTTGGTACATTTTTTGGCAAACTTGGTACATTTTTACTATGACATCGAAGTCCCCAAATTCAAGAGGACCTCTGTAATTGCCTCAGGGTTTGGCACTTATGCCAGTACAGCATGAAGTAGTCCACATAATTTTACTCTTCATTTACTCAGTGGGGCTTTAGAACATGCTAGAACATTAAAAAGGCATTTTTAACATTAAATTTTGTGTAACTGAATCCTGAAGGCAATTCTCCAGAATGGGTTACCAAACAGTAATTTGTCAAATACACGGCAAGACTTGCAGCATCCCAGCTCACTTGTAAAGCTATCGCTTCACAGCATGCCAGCAATGTGAACTGCTGGCAGAAGGACTGGACTTCACGCAGATGCTGAGGGAATAAACAACAGCACACTCGATCCACAGACAACCTTTGCGAGAAAATCCTTAACTATCTTCTTTTTATGTATACAGGTAAAGCTGCACTTGGAGAATTCATCTTGAGACACAACTTTCATGGGCATTTTGTTAAACCTCATGACAATGGTTGCCATCATCAGGATACCGAGTAAAAAGATACGCTCTTTTACTCTTTTTTTGTCTTTGTAATGTTTTAATTTCATTGAGTGTCCCTGGTTAACAGTCTGCCAGATAAGGAGAATAGAACCTCTCCATGAACATAAAATTTAGCTTACAAAAATAAAAACTAAGTACAAAGCAGAGTTTGTTCCAAATACTGACACAGTCTTGCTATAAGCTTAAAAATGATTCTGTTGCCTAGTGACATAGCTTTCAACCAGGAATTAACACAACTAATATTAACACAAACAACAACCTCACATTTTCTGAACACACAAGGGTTCTTGCAGGTCACTATCCCACAACAACCTTCTGTGTGCAACTGATTATTCCATAATAAATGTGAGTTAATTCAAAGCAGCTCATCACTCAACTTCTGGTCATGACAAAATTATTTTAAAATAATGTGTTCATACACCCAGACCCAATACTAAAATAAATGATCAAAATAATAAAAAAGATCTTAAAACAGACCATTTCTATGAAAGAGATTTTACAGATTTGTTCTTCTCTCATATCCACTATTACTTGGCACTTCTCCGACTTATGTTCAAAAGTCAAAGCAAAAGTTGTTATACAGCAACTCTTGCAAATCTTTTGGAGACTAAACTGAAGAAGAACATTTCTCACAATGAGCATTCTGGGTTGGGGTTCAATGCAATGGTTGCTGCTGCCTGGGTGTGAACAGACCTGAGCCCCCTCCCTCCATTACCTGTTGAGAGCTGAGTGGGAAACGGGTTCATTTCTTTGTCCACCATTTTCTGGTATAAAGCTCTCAAGCTGAAAGGTTCCACAGTAAAAGGTAACGTTCCAGTCAACATTGCATACATGTTTACCCCACTGCAAGAGAACAGAGAAAAAAACAAAAAGCAAAACATAGTATTTAGTTACTGCACTTTTTTCTGTTTTAAGGTTTGATTCCTATTACAAAAGGTTGAAGAAGCAGCTCCTCAAAACTTCCCTCCTGTTGCACTCAATAATTTGGGCAGGAATTCCCAGAAGTTTGCTCACAGAGGTGCCGGTTCAACAGCCAAGGATTTTCACTGATCTGCAGGGGCTCCAAGGAGCAAAAACATCAGGTATGAATTATGTTTTTTCAGAGCAGGAAAAATATTGCTTATAAACACCCAGCAAGGCTAGCCATGATAAGTGGCTTGAGTACTCTTGTTCGTTTTCCCTCCTAAAATGGCTTCAAATTCAATCGGGTGGAATTCCTCCCTTTTGGGAATTTATTTCCCCAGTCTGCTGAATAAATTTATGTGAACAGAAAGTAAACTGAAGCAGCGCACTATTACAAACCATGATCATAGCAACTATTTGTTCAACTACAAGGAAGGGTAGCAGTTAACCACATTTTTTTTTCTTAGATAAAAAAGAAAGAACAGGATATTATTGCTGGAAAAGGTTGAATGGCTTAGAAGGATGGCTGTGCTGTTTGTCTGCATTCCAGGCCCAGTAAGAGTGCCTGCGTCCCACAGTGCTGGTAAACTCATCCTTGATGTGGACGGAAGACCCACTGTTGCAGTGAAAAATAAAGCAGCTATATGATAATTTAGCTCTGGGTCTCTCCTTCGCACAGACTGCAAATGAAACTTCAATACGGCAAGTTCTGAAGAGCCTTTAAGTTTAAAAAGGTACCAACAGATCAAACTGAGAGGTGAATTTGATGGAGGTTGTTAAACACATTCTACCATTTCTCCCTGTCTCATATATAATCTATGGCCAATTCTTCTTAGCAGTAGTAACACTCATACAGTACTTTACATTTTCAAAGCACTATAAAAATTTTTAACTCATAAATTATCACAGTTCCGAACGGACACATAAATTTTATTACCCCAGTTCACTCATGACGGAAAATCTATCAATTCTACTGCAAAAGCTAAAACTCAGACTTTGAGATCACATTGATTCTCCTTTGTTTGATTTTACTGCACTTTTACCCAGCCATTTCCTGTCCTAAATGCAGGACAGTTCATTTAATTTCTCTGCATGTTCAGTTCATTCCTCTCCAGGGGAGACAAAGATAACTGACACCTGGTCTTGGCTAGCAGGAGGGTGTCGCAGCACAGTCTAAAACTGTGCTACTGCTCAAATGCATTGGCTCAAAAACATGTTTGCAACTTCCTCTACCTCTGGCACCAGGGACTCTTATCCGCTCTTTTGTCTGCACGCTAAGAAGCTCACAAAGGTCTGACCAAGTTTCCTGGCCACTTTTTCTTCCCCTTTAATTACTATGCTTTCAAAGCGATGACCTGATTAGATCTCACTTTTCCTGTCAGAGGACTGTGGAGAACACCCAGAGCCCATGCAGGAGTTTAAGGTTCCTTTGGGGAACACAAAACAAGCTGTTGGCCCTCCCATGCCAAAGCCCTGTCTTCTACTGCATTCACAGTTTGACACACAGTGCACGATGGACACTGCTCTCCAGCATCTCTCCTCATATTCTATTGCTCTACATACATGCCGGTGAAGTTCTATTTCAAATCAAAATATCTGTGCAACACGGTTCACAGCATCATGCTAATTCAACAGCATGTTTTGCTCGTGGCAGCTAACTATTTGAATAATGTTTCTGATTCGAGCAATAGGTAAAGATGATGAATATTATGAAGAAATCACTCACATGGACCAAACATCTATTTTCGGCCCATACTTTTTCCTTGCCAGAAGTTCAGGCGCTGCATATGCTGGGCTCCCACACTGGGTGCTGAACGGATCAGAATAACCCAAGATGCCTGCACAGTTGCTCAAGCCAAAGTCTGTGAAAGACACAGAGACACAGTTAGGAAACAGACAGATACTGTAAAAATGCACTAAAACTCAAAGGAAAAGAGCAAGCTTTTGTTTTTCAAAAACAAAGTAGTGAACTCCCTAAGAAATCATCCACGTGCAAATCTTTATACAATTTGTTTCTTTGAGGTACTCAGTAATTAGAGATATCTGCAAGCAATAAGCAAATCTTAAGAGCATGCACGATTACCAATTGCCTAAGTGAAGCAACTATATTTCACTGGGAATCGGATGACAACAGCTGAACTTGCCTCATACATTAGATGTTGTGTATGGGGCAGAGAGTAGCCTCAGGCTGCCTCAGATGCTATACTGTTGCAGTATGTTACCAAGTGGCCAAGTTTACGCGCTACATCTTCACCATTTTCCACTAAATTGTGTAAATTAACCATCAAATTTAGGGGTAGGGGATCTGTCTGCTTCCTGGGACTACTGTGGTGATGCACAACACAGGGCCGCAGAGTCAGCATCGCAGCTCGAAATAACACAGGGCAAACTCGGGGGAAGAAAGAGAACGCGTTGATTTGGCTTCCCCTCCCTTCTGTCTTGAATTATTGTGTTCCCAGCCCCGGGTGTATGCAACAGCCTTTGCTGGCAGTAGCAACAGAGGACCAGCAAAGCCTGGCATGGAGAGCGAGCAGAGGCAAGAAGGCACTGCCGTTTCACAAGAGCCTTTGGCCACACCAAGCGGTGGCTGGCGCCGGGAAGGGTGTTCCCACAGCCTCCCCTGTCTGCTCCAGAGCCAGCACAGCTGCAGGGGGAGCTGGGGTGAAGAAAGGATCGCTGCAATTGAACCACCAAGCACGAAAAGCCCTTTGGCGAGGACAACGGTGGAGCCGGCTTCCAGCTGGGTCTCACCAGCAGGACAGGAGGCAGAGGGTCTTGCAAGTGAAGACACCTTGGATTGGACATGGGGAAGCAAGTGGGGAATTTGCAAAGAGAGGGATGACATGAGTAAAGCTAAGAGACAGTGAAAACTGTTTCTGCAGCAATGTTTTATAGGTGCATCGCAGAGGCAGAATGAATTTGTCAAGGCCACAGAGAGGTACCTGTTCCTGGCCAAACATGAGATAGCAAGAGCAAACTAACTGCTTGAGCTATGCAAATGGATAGGAAACTTTGATGGTGTTTTGCAGCGAGAATCTGTGATACTCAGACACATCCAGATGATCCAGAGAGATCACAAAGATGTTCTCATTTATTAATAACTTGTTACTGCTAACATCTGCAACAACAATATTGTTATTAATAAGACCCACATCTTTGTTTTTTCTTTTTTTTTTTTTAAATTCAGTCTTGCTAAAAATTCCCAGAATGTATGTATGCTTAAAATGGAACTTGTCTTATCCATAAGTAAGGCAGTTAGGAGAAGCCAACTACCGAATCCTGCTTCCTACAGGCTTGTGTCTTGCATCCGAGTGCCTCTAACGCAGCACCCTCTGTGTGTCTTTTGGCATTTACTCCTGTGTTAAATGTAGCTGAAATCAGACAAGTCTCTCCCAAGGCACGAGGAGCACGCTGACAGGCAGACAGCGCATCCGCACAGGAATGTTCCCTTAGGACCCAGCCAGGCTAGAGACGAGTAAGGCTTACACAAAACAAAACCAGAAGGAGGGCTGTGTGAATTGGAGAGCCCAAATGACTGCACAGCGCCCTGCGCCTGGCTGCCTGGCGCTCCAGGAGGAGGACAAGCACAGAGCCAGCGTCCCTGGCATCCCGTCCAAACACCCGCAGAGGCTGGAAGAGCTTTGGCTGGAAAACACGGTTTCCTTGCCTCTGATGGAAAGCAATTTGTTGAGGACGCTGCTTAATCATCTCTGCTGGGTATGTCTTATCCCTGGGGCTTGTTCAAAAACCTCTGAGGACCTGTTTTATTTAGTTATTTATTGGCTATGGTCTGAGATGTGTTATCTCAATGGAAAAATACCTTTTGAAATTCCTGAATCTACACGGTTTTCACTCTGTTTTCATATCGTCTCAAAATTACATGATTTTAATATAACGCTTTACAGTTAAAGTACATAATGGCTATAATCTCAGCTGGCAGAAACCAGCATCTCTACATCATTATTAATGCAATGAAAACTTCAATGCATTTCTCTGGAGAAAACTTTCACTATCTATCTCATTTGTTTCAACTGTAAACAGTTTATTCATTTATATCTAGCTTATTCACTTACTCTAGGCTGTTACACTGTTTTCCTTTTTCCTAGTGCTCATTGAAACTAAAGATGAGTGTAAACACAGGGACTTTATCGCAAAAGAAAGGGAAATTTTCTTAACATCGTGCCAGCACATCATGGTTGCAGCGTGATTTTTATTAAGGATGCATCTTTATCTTGCTAAGAATGGTAGTGGTAGCACTGATAATGTTACTGCCATTACTGTCTCTATCTCGGGATTTTTCTTTTTTTTTTTTTTAACTAGCTCAGCTAACTACAGAATTCAGACCAAAGGCCATCTTTGGTTTTCCAAAGTAAATATTATGACATGGAAACTCCACAGCCCCCAGTGTTCGTACTGTCAAAGGATCGCATTACATTACTGCTTTTTAATGCCTCCAGGAAATCTGCACTAAGCCACGGATGTAAGGCAATCTATGAAACTATCTATGGAACTGTGATTGCTAGAATAAGGAAAATGTTGTCAAATAACAAAACCCTTAGCGCAAAGCATGGGCTTATGGAGCAGTTTGACCTTTGGGTACGCCAGCAGAGCTACTTATACACCAAATGCCTTTGTGTTGGTTGGTGGTCCTTCAAGGAAAGGCCAGGAGCCTTCCATGCCCCATGCCATGGTGTCCATTTAATCCTCTGACACCTACCATCAAAGATTGGCAGCTGAAATGAACTGTTCCCATCGCTTCTAGCTCGGATGTTCTCAGACCTGTGTCTTAACAAGCTGCTAAGAACGAGTCCACTTAACATGGCAAAGGGAATGTTTCCAGTAGCAATATCTCAGCACGCAGTGCAAACCATGTTATCACCTGGCTAGAGGAGCGACAACGGCGAGCTGGCGTTGAGCAGCTGCACCAAGAAGGGGATTCAAGGAATCTAGTTCTCACTGAAATGCACAAGCAAGCAGGGACTTGCAATGTCAGGTCATGTTATATTTCTACTCTTCGCCTTCTCTTTCTCTGCTGTGGGTTCTCTCTTTTTACAGTCAGAAGATAAAAATCATTTCACTAGGTACTAGTGCATTTGCTGCTGCTTGAGACACAGCGACAAAGCTCCCACCCCAAAAAAATTAAGATGAGATGCTTCTGTAGCTGATTTTACAGCTCTTTTCTCAAGCTTGAAATGTAGCATGTAACTCCACAAAACACGCGGGGCAAGACCATGGCCTGCACAGACCCAGTGCATTTGTAGAAAGACAAACTAGGAAAATATTTTCCGAAGTACTAGATGATCTGAACAAGGTGATGAAAAAGGAGGAGGAAGAGGAGCGAATTATCTGGTCTCCACAGCAGCCAGAGACAGATGCTGGGAAACCTCCCCTGTCCTGGGAAGGCTGACGCCAGCCGAAAGCTGGCAGCAAATCCCTCCTTTGCTCCCTCCCAGGAAAGACGTGCCGGTGAGGCGGGAGCAGAGCAGTGGCACCCTGCCCAAGGGAAGGCGTCTGGGGAGCCGAAGCCAGGTTGGGCCATCCCCACTCCAGCTCTGGCCCCACGTGCAGCCAGATGAGAGCACGTGGGGAAAGGAGAAGACCACCCATCCCTTCGGGATGATCAGCTGCCAGAGCCACAGGGTTTGGGTCATCACATTGTGGCTTCTCTGGAAAACTAAATCGGAGGATTTCCTTACAGGACAGGAGGATCTGAAACAATGGATTTATGCCAACTGCTGACAAAATGCAAGTGTTTGAGCCAACTCTGCTCTTCCACCTCCTTTTACTCCCAGTCAAATTATTACTCATAAAGCTACCTTTCTCCTCCCATCACATACCCAGTCAGACAGTTGGATTATTGTTTCGAGACACATACTGTGTACAAATGCTTTGCTTAAAATGTCGGGCTGCAGACCCGAGGACAGTTTGTTTCCACATTAGCTGGTCTATGGAAGAGCGACTGTCTCCTCCTTTCTTCCCTCCTCACCCACTGTGAGGAGACCTTTCTATGTAACTGAAGCCAACAAGGCTGTAGGAAGACTTCTGCAATTTTTTTTTTTGGCACAAAAGTTTTAATTGCACATGCATCATCTGATTAGATTTGGGCTTGGACGTCGAGTTTATGTGCTGTTGTGTAACAAACACCCCAAATGAGAAAGTTATAGAAATTCTTTACATTTATCAGATGTTCTTATCTGTTAAAAACCATCTGGTCTCTCTTATCTGCTAAATCAAGATAATGGGTGGTATCCATCATTAGTGAAGAATGATTCATATATGTGGCCTCTTGACCCCGAACTGAGGTAATGCAACATTCTGTTCTGCTATTATTTTCCAAGAGTCATTTGATTCATTACTGAGAAATGACTAAAAGTTACGGCAATTTTTCTCAAGACTAAATTCCCTAGGCAGATTTTGAATATTTTGAATTTCATCAACCATACCCCTCTTACTTGTCTGGAAATGTGTGTGCTTTATACGTTACAGTGACTGTCTACTTGACCTGAGTTTTGTTCTTGTTTTTCATCACTTTTCAGATGATGAAACCTTTTGGGGAAAGAAAGTCAGTCTACTTTTTAAGTCTGCAACCACAGAAACTGCTGCTGGCAAAAGTGTAGGCATGGAAATAAACATAAACAGATTCTTCTTTTCTTATGAGGGACATATTTCCTTTTCAATGCCCACATTAACATTAACAGGAGCTACACAAACACAGCAAGAGACTATACTCACAGATGATTAATCTAAAATATCTGCACAACTTGAATGAATTGAGCACTGCATACAACTGATTCCTGACTGTAATCAAGACTCTCCCGTACTTTTTTTTTTTTTAAACAAACCTCTACACCAATTCCTCTTTGGATTTTGGAAGCAAATGTAACGAATATAAATAGAGGACCAAATTTTGCCAGCTGCTATAAATGTGTGCAACTCCCACTGACTTCAACGGAAGCATATGCATAATGGGGGCAGAATCCATCCCTCACTAAATCTGAAATTACCAAAGTAACGAAACAAATTACTTCTGTGGGGTCAATTCTTTAATCCTTTACAAATTTCCTGGTTTAAATAGGAGAACGGTTGCTTAAAAGATGAAGGATTATGCCCATACCCAGTGAAAGCTGAATTATTTGGAACATTTTTTCCGCAAGATGCTGTCAGGAACAGCTTGATTGCTATCTATACTCTCCCAGCTCCTCTCTGTAGCAACATTAGCAGTTGTCACATGGAGGATTATGAAGTCTCAAAAATTCTTTATAAGACTACCAATTTCAATTACTGGAATTGCCAAACTGGTTTCATACCAATGAGCTTGATATTGTTGTCTTCATCTAGCAACAGATTTTCTATCTTCAAGTCTCTGAAAGAAACAAAATATTTTGAGTGAGCCTCTGAAATGATGAAGCATCTTCCTGTCACTCTCATTTTATTTACAAGGTTCATATATAACACAGCATACATGGTTCCCCATTCAAAGCCAAAACCCCCATACGCTGCCTCCTCTCCAGAGCTTTCGTGCACAACTTCACACTAGTTTTTCATGCACAAAATGAATTTCCAATCATTTGTGAGTAAGCCCCATAATCAGTCTCTTCGAATTCTGTATGTAGTTAAAAGTTCACAGAAATCTTAGACACAGGAAGCATTTCAAATACATGCTCTTGGTATTGGAGGTAATTTTTTAATTACTCTTCATAACCAGAGTCTTTTTTTCGGCTGCAGATGGAGAGTAAGTGCTCTTCTGCAGAGGTCTGAGGAGACAAACGTCTGTTCTCTTTCACTGCCTGCAAGGGGACCAGATCAGCCTCCCCTCTGGCATGAGATGTCCAACCTCTTCTCAAGAGGCAGCCAGGACTAGTATTTCATACTGCAGAGGTGAAAGCTGAGGCACAGAAATTGGAATGATTTGCCCAGTGCCACCCACCAAGATTGTGATAGAGCTAAGAGAAGCCACACAGATTTTAAGTTTCATATTAAGGCTTTTTCGACAGTACTGCTCTGCTCTGCTCTGCTGCTTCTCGGTGTTTGACTTTGACAGAGCCACTTCATGGATCAGGGTCAAGACCAGTTTTGGGAGAGAGAGGATAAAATGAAAGCAGTTGCCTTCTATAAGAATAATGTCTCCTTCTGAAACACACTGGAGTACCTCCTTCACTTTATACTTCTTTATACACCTTATCTACTTCTGCCATTTAAGAGTGTAGTAGTCCTTCCCTAAGTCATGTTTGAGGTAAGAAAAAAATTCAAGAGTTTATCTCCCTCCACCCATAAAAACCCAACACCTACGGACTAAGCTTTAAATATAGTATGAAAATTAGTTAGGTTGCTACCCAACTTGTCTGTGACTACTGGTGGTTGACTGTGTCTTTTTTACCCTTTTTTCCCACCCCGAGTCCAGATATAAATTGTTTCTAGTAATTAGCATGCCAGGATATCGACAGCTCAGACAAGTAATGATGCTTCACTCGATATATTTAGGAAAATTCTGGATAATAAAGCCATCTGGTGTAAGTACGGGAGGTCAGTGACATCTGTGCTACCTTGCCTTTGTAAGGAGAAGGCAGCACTTGAGGAAAGCCTTTATTACAGATGAAGATACAGTGCGTACTAAAGTAAGACAACCAAACCAACCAAACCAAAGGCCTTTCACAAGAATGGATCTAGAAAAAAAAATGCAGTGACCAACTGTCTTTTTATATCCAGGCTGTCTTTCAAATAAGTACCTGAAGTAGAGGAGCCTTTGCATGTAGGATGTCTCCCACTTCACAGATACAACCACAAGGACGTCCTCTGAACTGAACAGATGTTTCAACACTCTAATTAGCCAGATTTTTTCTCACCTCATATGTTAAAAGAAACAGGGGAAATAATATACAACTCTAAGGAGAATGTTTTGCAAGTTGCAGGTATTCGATGCTATATTCAGCATCTCTTTGTGCCTTTAGCTTAACACAAGACTTTTCTAATGAGAAGACTGTCTTGTGTACTCAGCAGTTAAATACTTTGGCACAAATTCACTTCATGGAGAAGCGGCGTAATTCAGTCAATACAAGTGCAGAGGCAGAAGGCCTGACCTCCTCTGACAATGACTTAGTGCATTAACTTAGGGAAACCAAAATCTTACTGCTGCGAGACCCCTCTCCTAGCACAAGGCTCCACGTCTGTCACGAAAAGAGACTTAGTGCATTAACTTAAGGAAACCAAAATCTTACTGCTGCAAGACCCCTCTCCACAAGGCTCCACGTCTGTCACGAAAAGTTCTGCAGAGCCATGGGCAACGTGGTTAGCCTCTAGGAAGACTCCAAGGCTGGGGATTTAACAGGAAAGGGTGCCCAAAGAGCAGCATGGAATTAAGAAACAAATAAATAACAATAAAAAAAAAAAAAAAACAGAAATAAATCAGCAGAACCTAATGGGGTTTCAAGTGATACACCGAGACACTCAGTATAATGGCTCAAAGTGAGGAGCGAGAGTGCTTGGAAGTTCTGAGCAAATTTTAGCATTGAATTTAAATGTTAGATAAAAAGAGGTAAGATTTTAAAAATAAAGGAAGGAGAGTGTATGAATGAAAGCTGAAAATTGAGCAGAAGAGACATGAAGGCAATTAGGATAATAAATGAGTGATAGAAGAGCTAAAAATAAATAGAAAAGAAAATGTTTTAAAGGAAGCAAGGTTAAAAAATAAAAATAGACAAGGATAAAAATTAAAGGGAATTTTAAAAGTATCTGGGGAAAAAATAATAATTAATAGGAAGTTAATATAGCCTCACTATAAACTGCAATCAGATCTGGTTAATTAAAGATGTTTACTCATATGTCTATTCTCAACAGATTTGCCACTAAGTGGTAACTGATCTAATGATCTTTTTTTTTAAGTCCATGTCAATCTCAGAGCACTTTTTTTGGTGTGACGCTGAACCAAGTGGGTGTATTTGCATTTACCTGCTGCCATTTAACAAGAATATCCCGTGTTAACCAGTCTTAGAGACACAAGAGTCCTATAAATCAGGCAAAAAAAAACAACAAAAAAAGAGAAACCAGTCTGAGCTCCTTGAAGAAGGTGGCCAAAGGCGAAGAATATATCTAGGTAGCAGTTGGCTGTTGTCTCCTACATTTTACTTTTTAATCACAAAAAGCCCTCCTTTGCTCCCAGCCCACAGGTCCTTTAAGGAGCTGCAGGGGAGTTGGGGAGGTTGCAGAGACTGGGGTTCATCATCACTTCGATACCCATTTCAAAGGAATATTTACCGAGCCGGCTTCCTTTCAATGTGGTTATCTCTGCAAAAGAGGAATCCAGCCCATTGTCTTCACTAAAATCACGTGCAGCTCGTGTGGTTTGTTTACGGCGGAGTATTTGGCAAGCGAATGCCCAAAGGTAATCTGGAAATCTGTCATGAAAGAGGAAGACGAGCCAGCTTTGCACTTCAAAAGGAGACTTTGCTCCACAGCGCAGGATCTGTCATAAATATTGCATCAGCAGCCAGACTCCTGGCACTTAAAATTAATAGGATGGAAGTTATCAAAGCTAACATGTCAAAGTAACGGGTACCAAAGCCGGAATCCCGTAACGTCCTGAACAACTGACTCATCCGGCACTGCCTTGCTGCTCTCAGCTGGCTAGGCTGAGGGAGGCAGGAGCTTATGGAAAAATACACAAATTCCGCTCCAATCCCCCGATTTGTGTGCGTCTTTCAAACGCCTGAGCTGCTTTTAATTACAAAATGGCAGGGAAAGGTATGAATATACTGCCATGAAGACAGAAAAAGGGGGAATACAGAAAAGTATCTTTGCTACCAACACATTATTAAATTCTTTCCTTTGACGTTCTGACAGTAATTGCACTGGATGGGATTGAATTTTGTTAAAATTACTTTAAAAGGGTTGTTGAGAATTTCCTGTGGGATGCAGTTGCAAGCACCAAGGCTTTCACTTCATTTTCTCTGTTGTCCTTGCGCTCCCAAGGGGCTTATTGTTCATCCTGCTTTTTGACAGCATGAAGGCCTATGTAAACACCCTCTGAAAAGAGAAAGCTTCACCAGATAGATACTGCCATTTGGGTTTGTTTTCTTCTGTCAGAGGGAGATAAATATTCCTACCTGATTCACAGCTGAGCTTGTTGCATGTATATTTTTAGCAACCAACCAGCTCTTCTGATAAAAGCAATGGAGCACAAACGACTACACAAAATTATATTTATGGCAGTGGCATTTTTTTATTTCAGGAGGCAGCCACAGACTTCTGAAAACTTGACACTCCTCCCCGAAGACGTAACTACCGCACTCAGAAACTTGCCATGTTCACCCATTGTAGCAGAGAGATGCATAGGATTTCAAACACATCTATGTGGTCAAACACGTAGGGAGTTTTTTTTCAATCTCTAAAGTAAAACGAGGCTCTTGAAGTTGTTGGGTGTTTTTTCTTTAATTTCAGATTGTTTGCCTGTCTCACTGCTTCTTACGACACTCCCTTTGAGTTCTGGGTCCCACTTTTTGCCCAAAGATCAGAGTGTTTTTCTACCATGCCAAGACTTGATCATAAATCATGAAAATGGCTAGGCAATATTCATTAACTAAAGTAATCAAATTTCATATGACTTATTAATCTGCTTCTTTTTTTTTTCCATCCTGAGTTATAGAGAAGAGCAAATAATCTACATCGTTCACTGAACAATGCAGATAAAAACACTTTGGTTGCTATTGTAATGAAATATCCAACAAATACTTTAATTTCCTTTAAACATTCTGTCCAAATCAACATGAATGAATGACGAAAGTATTTTGAAGGGGACACTAACAGCTGTCCACTTCCTGGCCTACGATGCTGCGTTTTGTTTCGCATGCAGTGAATGTGAACACCCACGAATCACCATATAGATGAAAGTGCTGTTATTTTTTAACCGTTTTAAAAATAACAACAAGAACAACAACAGAACATTGTCATTTCATCCAGGGTGAGAATGAATCAGACTTCTGCACTACTATCTTTTTTTTCCCTTTCTTCAGCTGCTCATGGAGTAGTCTGTTTTTAGAGCTGCCATGGTCAAAAGCCCAACAAAAACTCCTGGGGTAACTATTATTCCTCCTCCCTCTTGCATGCACAGAGCCAATACAACAACTTCAGACTGTGCCTCTACCGTTTTCTTTTGCCTCTATGCTCTGCTGGCTGTTTTTTTTGTAGCAAAAAAGTAAAGATACTGAATAGCTAAGCCCTTGGAGAAAATACTTGCAAATACACTGCCTGTGATGCTGTCAAATTTTATGAGTTTAAACAGAGTTGGACCTGCTCGTTGTTTCAATGGAAGACTCCCACGGAAAATGGCTTCGAGAAATACAGTGGGTGGTGTTCACTCCTGCAGCGTGAGGGCTAATTTACTGCCACGGTGCTGGATGGTGCTTTGCTGTTACCCAGATGGTCAGAGTTCAGCCACTGGACACTGCAGAGCACATCCGTATTCCCAGAGCTGCTTCTTCCCTGTGCTCCCGGGAAGCCCCTCGTGCTCCGGAGAGACAGGGCAAGGGCTGGGGCTGCTCCGGGCACGCAGCTCCCGTGCACGGGCCCAGGTGCCTCGCGGGCACATTGCAGCCAGAGCCACAATTCCTGCCTCCTCTCCGCCACCGCAGCCCCGTGGAGTCTATCGGCACCTAGTGAATGAGTTATTTTCATGCAAATTGTGGGTTTGAATCCTCTCTGGCAGAGAGAGGCATCAAAGTCAGGCCTGCCAGTTTCCCTGTAAGCACTTCAGCCATTAGGCAGAAAGGAAGTTTTTTGGTGAGAGGAACTGCTGATGGCCAGTGTCACTGTTGAAAGCTAAATATGTCCATCTGTCCCTGACAGGTTTTTTCTCTGCCAGTCCCATAAAGTTTGATCTGCTTTTTCCTTCCTCCCTCTCTGTACATATGGGACACATATATATATATATATATATATGTATATATATACTTTAAAGCACACTAAAGAGATCCGTTTTATGCGCCAAACTAAGGGGTTAATTCTCAAAGGAGACAGTACTTCAGCTGCTTTCAGAGAATCTGCAAAACGGACCTGGTTACTGCTCAGACATATCCCAGTGGTACCAGAAATTTGGCTTGAGATGAGACCTTGCCTCGCTTGTGGTCACCTGTATACCTACGTACCTGCTCCTAACGGATCGCCGCGAGCAAGCAGAGACAAAAACGCATATTGGGAGCGCGCCGAGCTCAAGGCCCGGGGCGCCGTGCAGCCGCGGGCAGCCCCGCGCACATCCAGCCCTTGCTACGGGCCTAAATAACTTGGAGGACGGAGCCTACACAACTCGCTCAGTGCCCCAGGCCGTGTCCGTGGGACCCCAGGCAGGAACTGCAGTCAGCATCCTACAAATACACCTAAGAATAGAGGAGGCAGAACAGTGGGTTGGACAGAAGGCCCCTCTAGCCCACCCTCCTGCATGTTGCTAGGGAAAGCATAAGCAATGGTGGTGTGATATACTTCCCATGTACTTTCCTCCCAGCCTCTAACCATTTGCTGCTTAGGCTTCCTCAGACAGAGGTAGACACTCTATTCAGGAACCTTCAGCAGTAGATTTCTTTGATTAACCTGTCCAGTTTCCCCTTGAGTCCAAGTTAACTTTTAATTCCCCATTGTTCTTCTCCAAGCAGATACACACCCCAGTCACACTTAGTTTAAAAGCATCTTTCTTCCCTTCTCTTTAGGACCCATTGCAGCAGTTTTGCATCTCTCTGGAGAAGCACTGAGAGATGAACTGCGCAGTTCCATACTCTGCATTTTTTTGCTATTTTTCAGTCCTGTGAAGTTCTGCGGGGGAGAATATAATTAGTGGAAGAGCAGAGGAGCAAGAGTGTGGTCTTCTCTGATCCACTTCTGGCTTTGTCCCAGCTAAGTGACTGGAGGGCTTTGGGCAAATCAGTTCATTCCACTGTACTGCTGTATTTTCACCTTCTCAAAGAAACAGTGAACTTATTCATTAGTAGATGACAGTACAAAGCTCTAAAACAGCAAAATTGTATTACCAGAAGGAAAGGAGACCTACCTTTGCAAACCACAGGACTATCTTTAAGTCCATGGACTCAGCAAGGCTCCCATGAGCTCACTTGAAGTCCCACATTTATTTAAGTGCTTTTGGGAGGTACCTTATGTTGTCCAAAATCAGATAAATTAGTCGAAATAAAAAGCTGGCTGGAATTTATTTTGACAATGACATCTGCTTCTTACATAAACAAAGGCAGAAACAATAAATGCCACTTAGACATTCTTAGATGAATTTTACCAGAGAGGTTAAGATTACCTGTGAACTACTCCCGCTCGATGGAGATGCTCTACTGCCAGAATAAGCTGCCTGATATATTTGCGTGCTTCGTGCTCTTCAAGCCTTTTTTTCTCATAGATCTTGTGCATCAAGTTGCCACCAGGGCACAGCTCCATGACAAGGTAGTAGCTGTTCTCAGTTTCCAGTATATCCAGCAGCTGAGCAATATTGGGGTGGCGGATCATTTGCTGGATCTGCCCTTCCCGTCGCAGATTCTTGGTGACATAGGTGTCCTTTTTGGCTCTTTTCTTGTCAATTACTTTCACTGCCACCTAATGAGAAACAGAGGAGAGTGGGGGTTGTTATCAGTCCCACCAGTGGTTTAGGGCTTTAACCTTGCACACACACACACACACAAAAAAAACCAGAAAATAAATTAAAGGGTGTCAGTCTCAACTGACATTATTTCAGGCACAACTACCCAGTACAGACAAATAGCTACTTCTCCTCCAGCTTAAATTCTCTCTTTACCCCCTTGTAGGATGATGGACAAAAGTTGTTGCAAGGAAACGAGTAACGAGGCGAAGGGACAATTCCTTTAACCGAACACTCCATACCCTTAACGCTGGACAGAAAATAAAGGGTGTCAGTCTCAACTGACATTATTTCAGGCACAACTACCCAGTACAGACAAATAGCTACTTCTCCTCCAGCTTAAATTCTCTCTTTACCCCCTTGTAGGATGATGGACAAAAGTTGTTGCAAGGAAACGAGTAACGAGGCGAAGGGACAATTCCTTTAACCGAACACTCCATACCCTTAACGCTGGACATCTATTGCATCCATTTCCTCAGAAAGCCTTCACAAAAGCCTATGCAGACAACCACACACGGGAAGAGAGCCCCCCTTCCAACCCCAGCTCATGTCCTACGCCGACGAGCCAGGCACAGCAAATTCCCTGCGCTGCTGTAATTCACAGTATTGCGGGCTGGCAAGTCTCTGGCAGCGGGGAGACCAGCTGATTGAAAACACACCAGGCCACCTTCCTAGCCGCAGCGAGTGCCAAGCACACATCAAGCGCCAGTTTGATCAGCCTCATATTTTTTTTCCCTTCAAGGAAAGGAAAGGTTAGATTAGCAAATGCTTCGGTTTCCCTTTAAAACAAACACGCACACAAAGTATGATCTGGAAATATGACAACAAAAATAGACCCTGGACCTTCGACAAAAATCCCTTGAATCCACATGAAGTTTTATCAAAATAGGAGCTGGAGAAGAAAACTACGGGAGTCTGGACTTAATAGTCTGCCATAAAAATGAGAAGTTGGCAACACTGCATACGTTATGAGCTGTGTGCACTTCTTAATTATGTTGTGATGCTAAATGTTTATTTTCATGAAATGCCCTTGATATAAAGACAAGGCTAGCGACAGCTACCTAGGTGAAAGACAGGGCACGGCACCACATCACTGGAACCACAAATGCCTGGAAGCTGCATTCCTCACTAGTCACATTAAAGGAAGATCACTTGGTTGTAAGCTAAGACAACAGGGAAAATCAGAGCTTAACTTAACCATTTTTGAAAGCCTCAGGTGATTCACCAAGGAAACAGTCTTAAATTAGTACATTCTTCCATCTAATGAGATAAGACTGGGGAGAGAGGCTTGCATAGATTATTTAGACAGCAAAACACAGAAGTTATTCTGGTGAGGACAAACAAATTCATAGGTGACGGAAATATGGTGTCCCAGTTTGCTTGCTGGCAGCGCAATACAATCTCCGCAAGAGGTGTTTTTTTTAAAAACAAAACAAAAACAAAAAACATAAAATGGTAATTTTTGCTACAGCTGCAGGATAGAAAATACAGAGCATTAATCATGCGGAGCAGTAATCTGTTTTCTGAAGCGTCCTGTGAATCCTGTTATCCATATGAGTAAGTCATTACCAACGCTTTGACTAAAAAGCACAGCCTGCACATAGAGACTCTCCATAATAGTTTCGTCCAGCTTTTGTTCTGCCTCCTAGGAGGGCTTCCTATCCTTTCCACTTATTTTCCTGTCTGCCTATCAAGATCCTTTCCCTTGTGCTGCTCCTTTTGCCTGTGCTTTCTCCGAGGATCCCTCGCTTTCCTCAATGGAATGGAGTCCTGGGCAAAAGGTCTGACATCTGGAGACTTTAGTGGGGCTTGAATTTCTTGGATTTTCTTCTGATTTACAGTTTCTTTGGAGCATATAAAAGAAAAACTAAGGGCCAAACCCTGCACTCAGTTACAATAGGGGCGACTTGGTTGATTCTGAATCCATGTAGAAGTACCCCGACGTACATGAATGCAGCATGTGCCTCAATGCATTTAATATACACCATGTAGG